AGAAGTGATGAAAGGGTTCAAATTAACTGTTACTCATTTATTGCATTTCTTGACATTTTGAGAACTCTACACTTCTGAACCGGCTAATGAATGATGAAATTTTTTCTCATAATGGTATTATTCTGAAATATATTTATCATTCTGAAATTTTCTCATATATCAACTTTCACTTCCATCTCATACATTCTAACATGGTATAAAAAATGCACTGTAAAAGTTAGATTCATTTGACCATTTTAATTTGAAGGCATCTAATATATAATGCTAACATGTTACTATTAACGTATCCTACATTAGATTAATATTTTTTGTCATAAATCTTTTGGAACATATAAGGTAAATTTGCATTATCTATTTTGCAATACGCATTAGAATGATTCAAAAATAAAATATGGACCCACAACTTGATTTGATTTGATTACATGTAGCATGTTAACCACATTAAATATGGACTTTTTGGAAGATAAAATACACCTTTGTTACGGAATGAATTGAAGTCCATTTATGCACTTTATCTTTACTTGAGCATCAAGCATCTTTATCAACCTTGTCGATTGTAACTTCTCAAGGTTTTCTAAAGACGAGAAAGTGCTTAATTTATATTTGTTTAATTATTATTATTATATTTGTTTAATTATTATTATTATCAAAGTTCAAGAAGCCCTTTAATTTGATGTTTATAATGTTTTAATAATTTTAAAAATATTTACGATTATGTATTGTTAATTAATTAATATATTTTCGATTTTCTTAATGTGGCTTTAGTTACTTGATTGATCTGGAAACATAAGATTCTAATTAGTTAGACATAAACATCAGCATTATTGGTCCCCTCAATGTTTGAACCCTTATTTCATTAGATTTGACAGGATATAAAGACAGGGATTTATTTGAACGTTTTCTATTGAGAAAAAAATTGTAACTCTATTGGTTTTGTTACTATTTTTTAAATTGGATTTTATTTTATTTACACGTAATATTAAGTGATTTTGTTAAAAAAAGTAATTTTTATTACGTAATTAAAAAAAATAATGACAATAATTATACTGTCATCAAAGCATAAATTACCATTTGTTATCTATCAAGGAACTTGCCACACTTTGATCTTGTGATTGGACGTCAAACCAAATTTCTTTAGTACATAGATTAAACTAGACATAAACTTTGAGTGAACATTAATAATATGGAATTAATCTTTTCATTTGTAATACATTATTGTCTTTAACCTGGAATGTAAACTAAGCAGAATAATTCCTGGATTGTATCAATTTAAATTAGGTTCAATTACCCATTACCAACTGTCTGATTTCAGAAAAAGATAAATGAAATTATAACAAACTAGGGGGAAATGAAGTTCACATCATGTGGGTGTACAGTGCCTTAGCATATAGTAGACCCTTGAATTCCATGTACAATATAAATGGAAAGAAACTTGAAATATGTCCTTGCTACAATGTTACACTATTACGTTAATTGTAAATTTAAAGTCATAGTAGAAACCATTCTATAATGGTTGCCTTCATCATCTGAATTCTATAATGGTTGTTTCAACTACAAAAATATAATCATTGACATTACATTCTAGTTCCGACTATATATAACCAAATAATCATTGTAATTTGACAGCAGGGTTTACAAGCAGCAATGGCTTCATTGAAATTCCCAGTATTCGGTCCCTACTGTGTTGTCAAGTTTTACAGTCCAAGGCACTAATGTGGTTTACTTTTGGCATTATGCACTCACCAAGGCCTGCCTATTCGTCCAAGTCTCCGTGCCAACTGAATATCCTTTGTCACTGAGATAGCAAAAGAGATTATTGAAGAGAACTCAAAAATATTCACAGGGGACAAACATAAACACAGCAAGAATGACCTTTGCACAGTTATCAATCTTGGATAACAACACGTGACCAAATCTATGTGGGAACAGAGGCAATTTTTTGTGGAATGGTCAAGGAGGGTTCTCAAATCCTACTACGTTTTCAAGCAAAAAACGCATCACAAAATGGGGGATATCACAATTTTACCCCAAAAAAAAATTTGTTTTGAGGTAAAATGGGTTTTTGAGGCCTATGTATAGTAGCACCACTAGACTGTGCAAAAAGTAGTTATTGTGGTTGCCATTGAATACTATAGTGCCGCTATTGACCAGTATGGATCTTTCCCAAACCAAGTTTTGTTCTAGTAACATATAGTATGTTCAAGTATTCAGTTCATTAAATATTTAGCAACTGAATTCATCGAGGCCAGTATGAAACCAGATCTCCACCAGAGAAGGCAACACAAAGCTATCGGTTTAAGAATGACTTTTTTCTATCACTAAAACATGTATACAGTTGTCTTTGGCTTCTGCGACCCTATACATTATGACCAGAGGTAGTAAACAGTCCGCAATGCACGTTTATCATTCTCTGAATACAGCAGATATAGCAATTTTTATAAATGTTCACACTAATTAAAAGGACATGGCAAGTCAGAACTAAAAGTTCATTTGTCAATTAAAACATTGCATGTTTTATAAAAAAATACAAAACTTTCCCAGCCACTATACAGCATACAGCACCATGATTTTTTTTTTCTCCAGCATTTAGACCGTAGAATATCCTTTTAAATATAATTAATAAATTAAAAAAGAATCATTTGTATGTAACAAAGAAAAAGCAAATACATTCATCACCAATAAAAGCAGCATGAAATTTATGAAAGATAAATTCATGAATGATTTGATGATCCATGAAAGGTAAATCTAGTTAAGAATTTTAAAAATTATATCAACTTACTAAGAGTAATACGCCTTGCGTGAATTGCACAAAGCATTCCATCTTCAAACAAGTGAACTAGACATTCCTCAGCTGCCTGCAGTATGGTAATATAAAATCCAATAGAATGGTCATGTTTTATAAGAAAAATGGTTAAAAATTACACAACAGATGGAAATGAATAAATGATTCTAAATCAATGACAAGCATTTTAAAAGAAATCACAAAAAGATAACAGCGCTATTGACAAGGACTTGGTACAAGGCACCCCAAAAACACATCAGAAATGTAAATGTAGCAATTGGTGAGACACGTTAAAAGGTATGGATGGGTGATCGAGAGTTTGTTTGGATGTGAGGCCACTTTGGGAGGGGAGAAGTACAAGCCAGGAGTAGTTTTCCTTGCTTAGTAGTAAAAAAATTATGAAAGGGAAGGAAACAAGAGTGCATCACTTGTCCTTAAACTCTCCTTTTTTCCATCAAGCTTGGGTGTTGATGAAATTCATTTTATTTTAAAATAAAATTAGGGTTGGCAACCTCTTTTTCATTCCATAATCTATTTTTATTTTATATTATCCCCTTTCCATTCCAGAGATAGCTAAGTTGTTGAAAAAGTATTCTGAAATTGATTACAAGAATGCAATAATAAGAGAACAAAAGCATTACTTGCTATCTAAAGAAACATGCATTGTAACTAGCGAGGGCATATGCTTCTGAACACCAGTGGTAGCAACATAAAGTTCACATTATTAAACATGGATTAAAAATGGTCTACATTCACTTTGGTTTCAATTAATAAACAGCCTGGAGACAACTTAGTTGGAACAGTTCTGAGACACTGGCCCCTTTTTCCACTCATCCCTCCCTAAAGTTCAAATTTTAAATATAGTTAAAACCAGTCTACATTCACTTTGATTTTAATTAATAAACACCCTTGGAGACAACTTTAGTTGGAAGAGTTATGAGACACTGCCCCTTTTCCATTCCCCTCTCCCTGTGAAGCCTCCAATTACCTTTCCGTCTCTATACACCAAGGAAAGAAAAAAAAAAAAAGCTCCAGTCATGCCTGTTGAATTCATAAGGATTTATGAAATACAACTGCCGGGTCCTTGCATAATTGATACATTAATATTCATAAATTAAAAGTTAAAAATAGAGATTTCTGATAAAATATTTATCGTCTGATGAAACACCCCTTAGCAAGATTAAGACTGAAAATAACTATCATACTGTTTTATAGTCAAACATTAAATGTCTAAAACCTAAATTTGGGTTTTTTTCCTAAGTAGAACCGGTAATACCTGACAGTGTTTCAATTTATTACATAACCATGCAAAGCTCACAAATAAAATAAATATACAAAAATATTGGAGGAAAATTTAAATAGTTGAACCAGGAAACAAGATCTGGAAAATGTATTAAAACAAATTTACTTTAACATGGATTTTACTCTAGCATGTTTACTCTCGCATTATAATTAGATGAATTGAAAATTTGCAACATTAAGCACCCTAGTGACTACTCAAATGCGCATGGAATAAGTTGCATACCTCCTGAAGTGCTACCACAGCTTCAGGTGTCCAGCGACTCACCTCCGTAGAGTATTGGTGTGTAATTTGTTTGACCTACACCAAAAAGTAAACACATTACCAAAACAGCGTGAACAAACTTCTCACAGATTTAATTCCACCAAATAAGTTACCTGATGCTATGCCAACAAATCTTAATTAATAAAATAATCATAATTCCATACAGAGCATGTTCTTCATGCACTCTCATCAGTGAATAAGTGGTAGAAGTTACCTATGAAAAATAAAACAGCAACCAAACTATGATGCTCATTTTACACCTAAGTATACTTCACTTAGTGTTAGTTAGAGTGGGAGAAGCTGCAAATGAAGAATTATAAAACACAAAAAATTTAATTGCAAACCTTACAAAAATTACTGAGATGAGTCACCAAAAGTACTAAAAGAACTGTCTCCTAACTTGTCCTCAGAAAACCAGATTTTGGACATTAATTTCATTTTCAGATATTTACAGCAGTGGTGAATACAGAGAACTACGCTAAGTGTCCAGCAAATATAATTAGTTTGTACAAACTCCACTGCCTAAATGGTGTGATTTGCAAATCCATTCCATCCAATGCAAATCAAACAGTTTTCAAACACACTACTAATATTTACAGTGTGCTTGCATATCCAAACCATCCAACATAACACTATCCAAATACCTCTCTTGCTTTACACTCTTGCATTGTAACATGTAAAATCAACACCAATCAACAGTTTGTCCAACATACGCCTAATCATCAGTAGTACAGGATAGACTGATAGCCATAATGATTCATTTCTGTAAATTTGCACAAGATTTTAGAGTAAAATCTAAGCAGCAGCATACCCAAAATTTACATCACATTATCACTATTTATTATTTTTCCTAGTACAAGCAACACAAAAATGGGCTAATGTCCAATTCAGAGAGCAAATTACAGAAAAACTAACACATCTTAGAAAGGGGGCAGCCGGGATAAGAAGCTTGCAACTCTTCTGAAAATGACGAATTTCACGAAGCGCGGCTGTTCCTGGCTTACTGCGCGCTTTCTTCCTTCTCTGAGTCTCAGGTGCTTCTGCTCCTTCTGTTTTTTTTTTTCAACCAATGATAATGAGACATTAGAAGATCAAAATGAATCAGCATAATTATTATAACCACAACAAACAAAGAATGTGACTTTTCACGTACCCTGCTGCTCCTCCCTTCTCCTCTCTCTAGTCGCAGGCTTCATTCACAATTTCAGAAAACAAAGGTCAAATTAGGGATTTTGCAAACCGAAACGCACAGAGAGAACAAGAGAGTTACCGATTGAGGTGACCGTGTTGTGGATGTGGAAGCACGTGCAACTTTTTTTTTACCTTAGAATTTGCATATGGAAGAAAATCAGGGTTTGATTCTGATAAGTGAGAAACAATGTATTCAATTTCAGACATACCGACTTTTCGCGAAGCTGGCGTGTGCTTCACTCTCGCCATGAAATTAAATTCAAAGAACAAACTGTGAAGAAATCGAGACCCGTTGGATTTGGTTTTCAGTTTCACTTGGTGCGTTTCTTTTTTCTCTCTTTGGCTCTGATTGTGAAATTTCAAAATGAAGCAATTTGCCTCCATTTTCTCGGTTTCCCAAACTATCCCTGCTTCAATTGTTTTTTAATTTTTAACCTGAGATTTCCCCCCGTGATTTTAGTTTATAAATTTTAGAAAATATGTAATTTTTTAAATATACTTTATATATTTTTTTATCTTTATACTTTAATGAATTAAATTATTTTTAATCATATCTTAAATTATTTTGTTAATTATAGTAATAAAAGAATATTTTAAAAAATGAATCGAACAAAAATGAAATATTTTCTAAAATTTGAGAGCTAAAAATTTAAAAAGTTAAGAACACCGTGAAAAGGAAATTTAAAAAAAATAGTGAAATAACAATTTAATTAAATGATTGTTACAAAAATTAATAATTTTGTAAAAAACTAAGATTATTTATCATTTAAAACTATTGGATTATAAAAAATATATAATTTTTATTTAAAGAAAAAGTTAAGGATCAAATATATATTTAATATTAAAATGATAGATTCACAAAAGCATATAGATTAATTTTTTTTCAAAATAAATTAATATATATCAAGAATAAATAATAAATTACTACAATAATATCTCAAAAATAAATGTATTAAAACAAAGAATTAATTAGTCTCTAAAACAAATTATGTAAAATAGAGGTATTGTAAAATATAAGATGTGTCTCACTAACTTATAACGTGTTTCACTAACTTAGAGCGTGTTCTACCAACCTAGAAGTACTCCACTGTCCCGGGTTTTCAGTCCATAACCACTCATGATGTTGAATGCTAAGATAAGTTTATTGCTCATACTACACCTATAAATAAATCACTACACACTCTCCCAGAGATACTCACTCATCTTCTCTTCTCTATTTTTTCTTCATGTTCTATTCTTATTCTGAGTTTATTTACTCTTTTAAAAATTTCTTGTTAGTTTATGAGTTCCTCAAAAAATCAGGGAAGTTCTTGTTATATTTTGGGGGACTTGTAAAATACACCATAAATAAGTCTTTAAGGATAATGATTATACACACCTCAGGAATCAAGTTTTGTTGTGTCTCTGTAAGTTTTTACAACAATCTTAAGGATTTAGCACTGACAATATGGATACCAACAACAACTCTACATGGAAGCCCTTCAATTCCTCACTCATCATGTTTCTGCAATGCACCACATGGGTAGTGCAAGCAATGGAAACAATTCAACTATCCTCACAAGGAGAAGAGCTTAAATTGAATGATTCTGATGACACTAAGCATTATGCTGACATAAATTGTTTATATATGCTTATGTTTGTAACATATGACAGGTCTTATTATCTCTTTACTGGGAGCCATCATGACATATTAAAATGATGGTTACTAGGTGTAGATACATGAATATGCTTGACTACTTTTGAATCTCATGTTGATTGGGTAATTCTTGTGTGAATTTTTGTTTTTATTTGAAACTTTCTTTTCATTTGATACTTTACTTTTAATTTATTAACTTCGAGTACATGACAATATTCTTTTTACCATGGTTACTTTAAAGTTGCTTCTGCTATGGAAAACTCCATCTATTTTTTCATTTTCCCACAAAGGGCATTTTGGTGGACTTATGTCATATTGTTAATAATGAATTTTTAAATTTACCCAATCTAGTGGTAAGGTCAAAAGGTGTAAGAAAGTGTATGATGTAATATTGGAAATCTATTTACCAATGTACTTGCAAAACATACCTCATTGTCAGGGTCTTGCCATATTGGTTATGATTATGTGTGGGTTGTATGTGATGTTTTGACTAAGATGAGTATTGTGTTTTTTTTTAGAATTTCATATGCAAAAATAGGTCTGAAATTGATATTGGCTTTTATTTGTTTTATGGAGTACATCATTTGATATCCTTTCTTGAGTTTTGTAATGATTTATTTCGTGATATACTTTCATATGATTTGTTTTGTTAAGTAATTCTAATTAAGAAGGTATGGTTGATAAGAAAAAGGTTATACAAATCCATTAGATTCTCATGTTCAAAATATCTCAAAACTGCGAGTGCATGTTTACAACTGAATTTGAGTGTTATATTGTGTGAGATAAAGTTATCTCTGTATTCTTAAACTTTGTTTTTTGTTGTCTATTTGTCTTGTTTCCTTCTCTTAGTAAAAATCTTAAATAGATAGACAAAATTAGTAGTAAAACGTTTTTACTCAAAATTCAATATTGATTATTTTGATGCTTTTGCTCTGTGGCTAGGATTTTCTCTATTAAGTTTTGTTAGCTTTAGCAACCATCCATAAGCTAGTTATACACCAAATGGATGTTAAGACAATTTTTGAATGGTGAATTAGTGAAGGAAATTTATATGACTCAACCTGAAGGGTGTGTTGTTCCTGGTCAAGGAAATAAAGTGTGCAAATTTTTAAAATCTTTGTATGAATTAAAACATCATCAAAACAATGACATGAAAAATTTGATAGTGTTCTATGCAGTAGGTAGACTAAGTAAGTACACTCAATGTCCTAATCAAGAACATTGGGATGCACTTGCAAGACTTATGAGATAATTGATTATGTCATTAAATATAGTGGATTTTCCGCTGCACTAGAAAGGTACAATGATGTTAACTGGATCTCTGGTTTAAATGAGACAAAATCCACTAGTGGTTGTCCATTCACACTCAGAGGTGATGCGATTACATAGAGATCAGCAAGACAAACAATTATTGCAAGATCAACAATGGAATATGAGTTTATTGCTCTCGAAATTACTGGTAATAAAACTGAGTGGTTGAAATACTTCTTAGCAAACATTCCATTAGAAATGAAACCAACCCTATTTGTGTCAACATATTGTGATTGTCAATCGGCAATAATTATAGCTAAAAATAAGAATTATAATGGAAAAAAATAAACACATATAATCGAGACACAATTTGGTGAAACAGCTGCTAAAGAGTGAAATAATTTTCATTGACTATGTGAAGGTTAGAACGGAATCTAGCAAATCCTCTAACGAAACCCCTAGGGAAAAATATGATTTTAGAAACATCGAGGAGAAAGAGACTTAAGTCATTTGCAAACAAACAAGTGATGATAACCTAATCTTTGTGATGGAAGATCCCATGAATAAGGTTCATATGAGAACAAACAAGTCACTTGATAGTTATGCTAGCACAAAATTAATTAAAATCAATTATGTTTATTCCAGTAGTATGTGTTAAAGTGCTAGATAATGCATCATTGAGAGGTTAAACTTTGTAATTAATATTCTATGTGGTGTACGAATTTTAGTCTAAACAAAGTTTTAATGATTTCATATCCCTTATGGGTGATGTATGATTTGCAGCAAACACTTAATGAAATCACCTATATGATTCTTGAGTGAGACTACTTGTATGAGATCTTTTGCAAGATTTTTAGAATACTCATGAATACCGGACATGCGCATGGCCTAGTAAGTGCTACAAAACGGTAACAACAATAATTGTGGGGGTGTATTGTGATTGTTAAACAGCTAACACACACTAAGTGTTTTGGTTCATATAGTTTGTTATACCAACTACATTGTGTGTTAAGTTTTCAGTCTATGACTTGTTCATATAGTTTGCTATATCAATTTTGATGCATTACATCTTATATTAGACCTAGGATTTTCTTATTTTGTTCTTTTATCTCTTTTTTATTTTGCAATATGTGGGAGATTGTTGTAAAATAAAGGTATTGCAAAACATAAAACGTGTCTCACTAACCTAGAACGTGTTCCACTAACTTAGAACGCGTTCCACTAACCTAGAAGTGTTCCATTGTCTCATGTTTCCAGTCCACAACCATCCATAATGTTGAATGCAGAAATGAGTTTATTGCTCATACTACACTTATAAATAGATCATTCTACACTCCTCGAAAGATACCTTATTCATCTTATCTTGTCTATTTTTCTTCCAGTTCTATTCATATCCTAAGTTTATTTACTCTTTTAAGAGTTTCTTAGTAGTTTCTGAGTTTCTCGAAAAATTTAGGAAATTTCAGTTATATCTTGAGAGATTTGCACAGTACATCGCAGATAAGCCTTTAAAAACATACCTCAAAAATCAAGTTTTATTCATGTTTCTGTTAATTTTTACAACAAAACATATATTATATGTATCAAATTTTATTAAAATCAAATTAACGTAAAATATAATCAGATTATTTTCATTTTAATTATATATATATATATATATATAATATTAGTTCATTTTAATAGTATTTTGTATATTATAAATTTAAGAATTTACCTATTTTTTAAACATAATATTATAATTCACAATTTTTTTATATTTAAAAGTAATTTGAATCTCATAAATATAATACCACTTAATTTTAAAGACTATTATGATAGTATTGTCTGGTCCATGAATTAGTTGAATTTTTTTAACAGGAAGTTATAATAAAATTTCTTAGAATCTGAGATCAATTTTTGTCATATATTAATCTCTATAAAAATTTGCTCAAAAAGATCACATCTAAAATAATTTATATTTGGGAACTAATATGTACATTAAATCTATTTTATATTTACATTTTCAGAAAATGTCTAACATCATCTGTTTTCCTTTCAATAAGCCTCTTATACTCCTCAATAGCTAAGTCAAAATGAATTGACAATGTTGTATATTTTGTTTATTAAAGACTTGCATATTAAAGCCTAATTTTGTTTATAATTCGTGATTAGTTAGTTAATGATGGATCCTAGTTCGTGTTTCACCATGATTATTTACAGTAATGCAGCAGATGAATCAGTTCAAAGGGAGAATTGCATGCATGAAATCTTATTTGTTTACCCTGAAGGAAGGATTGAATGTTATACTAAATCTTAAAATAACTACAATGTTTACTTTGACAGATACCTCTACATCACATCCATCAATTACAAAAAGGTGTTCTGAGTAGCACAAGTGGAAGGATAATCATAACAGACTCAGAAAAAATTATACAACTTATGTCATGGATCTTATCTGCAAATTAAGATGCATGACCTTCTGATAGGATTATATATAGATTGTAGTATTGTACACCTCTTCATACATGCTGACAATTGATTTGCCTTCTATGAATTCTGTTCAAGAATAAAAGAAATGAAGATCTAGGGCTGTGAAGGGGTAGGAGATGTTGGAGGCTTGAAATCTGGATACTGTAATTCAAGAAAAAGAGAAAAAAAACTGTGTCAAGAAATATTTCAAACTTTTGTTGGGTAGAGAGACCTCACAAATGAGGTTAAATTGTAAATGCAGTGTAACATTTGATAATGACAATTCATTTATTTGTCTTACAGTCCAACAAAGAGAGTCTATATCATGGAATCATAATCCAACAGGAAAGGAAAAACTGAAGAGTGTTGAGGGAGAAACTCATTTGAATTTCTGAATGTATTAAAAGCTATATCAGACTGTTCTCACAGCCCTGCATCACCTAGAAGAAATAAATACAACATTTTGCTCTAAATATAGTAATATGAAAATCATGCGTGAGATTTGTATAATGAGTCTCTAATATCCTTCTTCTACCAAAAACAATGCTTGCTCTATTAAATTGTATTAGAAACCATGAAATTATTGAGTGAGACTTGGACAATGAGACAAGCAAACTTCTGTGATTTCCAACAAATTTCGATCAATATTAGTATGTTGAATAGAGTGTTACGAAAAAATCGGTTACTAGCATTTTTCAAAGAAGTATGTATGTGGAAAATAAGGTTCCAAGAAAATTGACGACCACAAGCATGACTAATCAGCAAAGAAAGTGAAAAACTAATAGAGAAGAAACTAAGACCTACATATGGGTATGGTGAAAGTGGCCTTGGTGGCTTAGGAATTGAGTCTGCCTTGATTTCAGTTTTGGGTACTGAGTTTACTGCAGGAGTAACTGCATCGGCTTTGGTCTCTGGAGTAGCTACTGCTGTCTGTACACTGCTATTAGCTGTAGCAAGCTCTGAACTTTTATCTTCTGGAGCAGGAAGAGCCTTAGTGGTAGAGATAGGTAGAAGAGCCTTTCCAATGTCCTAGTGTCCCCAGCAATTCCATTTAAAGAGAACAAGGTCATTGGAAGAGTTCACAAGGTGCATAAATCATATAGGGTATATTTTCAGAAACATATATATTTCTCAATTAAAATTCAAAATATATGCTCCAAAATGCATCACAGCATAGTTACAGCTACTTTATCATAGATCACTAAATCTTAAGTACCTTTATTTCATCAACAAGTTCTTTAGGGGCAATTTTGGTGTTCAAGAACTCATCAAGTTGTTGCACAGTTTGCTTTCGGTCCTGTCAACAATAAAATTGAAATTAATATAAAGAATAAAACTTCACCATATAATGAAAAGAAATCAGAAAACAAGGGCATAATAACCAATGAAACTGGTTTATTGGCATGCAATGGTCAGCTTCAATTGTCAACAAAAGCCATAATTTACAAATTCCTGAGTGCAACTAAAGTGATAATATACTATTGTATATTTCCCTCCCCTTGTGACTTTTAATATTATCAGCCACTAGTTTTGAAATCAAACAATGAACTGTGCCTTTAGAAGACAAATAATGATTTCGACTTTCAAAGTTGATAGCACTAGTGTGTGAAACTTCATTACATCTATTGAAGTCAACAACAATTTGATAATACAAAAGGCTGAGATAATAGACTAGTTCACCTTAGATAAACTAAAAGTGATTCATGATCTCTAGTGGAAAAGGGATGCAATCTTTAAATAAGAGGGGCAGGTGGTGTAAATTTAAGGATCTTCTTTCAATCATCCACCATTTCCCATTTTAATCTTAATTCATGGTATACAGCCATGTTCTGTGAACAGAAAATTACCCAAAAGAACAATACTACACTCTATAGCTTTGCATGCTCTAACAATAATTCTCAAAACTAATGCACTTAAGAGGGAAAATGTTCTTCATCAAATATTTGAGATAACCTAACTGAGATAATTGGGATTATAACAACACTCAGATGATAACAATGTTAGAGGATCCAAGACCTTATAAAACTCACTCTAGAATTCTATATTTCCAGTGTGAAACTTAATTCTCATATATTGCAATTGAAGCCTAACATATTCGGCACCCACACAAGTTGTCTTTTAAACATTCAAGAGCAATAGACTTTGCAACTGAGACATAATCATGGACAATGGATAAGAAAAGAAAGGAAGAACCCCACTATAGAAGATAGTTGTTATAGTAGGGGGAGCCCAAACCCTTATAAACCCCCTTCCACACACTAAGTGTGTCTCAAAACCCATACCTTGTGGATGCTAAAACAATTGTACCAGGGATCACAATTTGACAGGTTAAAATTGTTGGACTGAATTGAAAACCCTCAAATATACCTTATGTTCTCCCTTTCCATCTAACATGTACTTACAACACTAAAACGGTGGTGTTTCTCTTATTAACGTAACTAATTCACTTGATAATTATTTGTTTTACTTATTTAAGCTGAATAAATTCTAACCTTATAAAGACAACATTTAAAAAAAAAATAAAAAACATATCCTTCATTTCTTGAAGGGAAATATTTGATATAATGTCAAAGCAAAAATATATGAAAAACAATGATTGCCTCCTAGAGTCAAAGGTGAATTATTCAACACATTGATGATAATAATTAATGAATATTATAATGGAAAAAAAAAATAAAAAAAAACTGCATCCTGCTTTGTAAAACAAACTTACCTCGGCAAATAAAAGCTTCTTGCTTGCAAACTGAATGAGTGCAGCAGATCCTACAACTTGGAGAATTGATTCTATCTACAAAGAGAAAAACATCATAAACAAGTGAGTTATGTTATAAACTCAGAACATAATGGATTGTTTTGTTTTGAGGAAAGGGAAGTAATAACTCATTGGATCAACCTCAGTAAAAGCTAATAGACTCAGTCCAGCAGCAGCAGCAGCAATCCCAAGTGTAACAGCCACGCCATCAGATGTATCCTGCACGAACCTCCATTAATTAGAAACACAGAAATACTCAAACAAGATCATGAACAAGATCTACTTATTTTAAAATCAAGTACATATAAATGAATCAATCACCATATTCTTGAAAAACGATATCTCAATCTCATCTTTTTATCTTATAAGCAAATCCAGTTTATAATTCATTCTTCATTTTTCCTGGTTGGTCAGTTTTCTACCTTGCTAATTAAAATTCTTAATTTGAGAGATCAAACTTACTTCTCCCATAAACACTTTAAAAACCCTATTCGTATTCTTAAATTAATTAGAAAGAAAAAGGCATACTAACTTACAATCTGAAAAGTAATAGTAGTCTTTACTCATGCTTCAGCATTGAAAATAAACAATTGCAATTAAATAAAACCAAGATACTTACTCCAATTGCTTCAGATATAGCATCAGCAAGATTATCCAAACTCAATGTCTTCTTTGGTGCTATCCAAGGAAGACCACTACTCTGCAGAATTCCATTCCTTGTCAGAACACTAACAAATAGAAAAATTGGACATTTTAAATGAAAATATTATAAAGATAATACAGTAAAATGAAAAGGGTGAGGAAATACCTTCCATCCTCTCGGTCCTTCTGCACCATCCTTGATTGCATAAGCAGCTTTAAATCCATTAATGGTAACCAACTCTGCAACCAGTTCAGAGTTCCCATCAAATCTGGCTTCCATCACAAGTTCACTCAATCAGCTTCAAGAAAATTTTCTTCAAAAATGCAATAAAAATAAGAAAACGCAACTATTCATGATAAAATAACACGACAACCTTTGAGTGTTTATGAGAATTCCAATCCCCCAACCATTAATAGCAAAATTGAGATGACTTAAATTTTAGATTTTGAGTCCAATTCGTCCTCACAAAACTCACCTTTGCAAAGTGCAATAAGGAATATCCAATACCCATGATAAAATAACACCACAACAGTAAATCAGAGTTCTTCATAAAATAAGATAACCTAATCTTACATTTTGGACCAACCTTATCCTCACAAAATTGTAAAATAATGGGTGTCTAAGCATTATAAGATCTTATCATGAGCTATATATAGTCAAATTGAGACTTGGGTTTTCTCATTACTTAACATGCTCTACATAATCAACATTGAAATAACAACAAATAGAGTGAAAATGGAGAAGAAATTGTTCTGTGTTACTCTTACTTGTCCAGAATAAACAATGTGGTATTCTCTGGTTCCTTAAACTTCAATGCAAGCTTCTTGAGGAACCCTGGCTTGTCATCACTCTTATAAGCTATTGACACTGCCTTCTTCCTCAGACCCCCAACATCTGGGGACCCCACTTGCCTAATCTCCACCAGAGCCCTAATATCAAGCAACTGAGCATTTTCATCAGCCCCAAGTTTTGCATATGCATTCTTAGCAGACTCAACACCCCACGCCTTAGGCTTCTTAAAAACCTGAGACAAAATCAATGGCAGAGCCAGAATAGCCACTCCCCCTGCAACAATTGCAGGATTCTCAGCTGCAAAGCCAGTAACACTCTCCACAAAACCACTTACATCAAAGTCTCCAGAACCGGGGAAGCTCAAAGGTTGCCCCAGTGCTTCATCGTACGTCAAAGCTGAGGCAACATCACCACTCACAACTGAAGCTGCAAGAAGCAATCCCCCATGAAAACTTTTTGATAAGCAACTTTGCAGCAACGTTGGTTTCTTGCTGGTTAAGGTGGAAAAGCTTGATGATCCCTTGCATGCAGAAACTAGAGGTTGTTTTCTTGTTGTCTTTGTATCAGAGAGCACAGACAGAGGGGTCAAAGCTGCAGCATTGAGGGCCTCCATGGTATCACAAACTCTGAAGTGAGGCACTCAGAGGAAGAGAGTGTTAGGTAATGCTACCATGAGAGGTGGAAGCTCAAGGGGTTGGTTGATGGTGGTGGCTTTGTTTCCTTGTGAAGGCGTTTAGAGTTGATCTATCTGGTTTGAATGGAAACTCTGTGGTGTTGTTGGTAGGTGCAATTCGGTGGAGGTGCTGACATGGTGAGGATATGGAAACACGACCAATGAGTGCATGGCACGTGGAGAATGAAGATGAGACTCAGCTGATGAGGATTGAGTTAAGGTTTCATGGTCTGAAATTGTGTGGCTCAGAAACGTCCTAGAGATGTACAGAAACTACAACACTTGTTCAAAAATACGAGTACCACTCTATACTTGTAGTACAATTTTCTAACTTCTGGTTGCTTCTCCTTCCTATCAGAAATTTTTTAGATATATAGTTGATATTTGTTTATTTTTTGAAAAAAAAAACTTTTCTTTATATGGAGTATTTTTTTTATAAATATTTTGAAATTAACTCAATGATCATCTATGCTAAATGTTAGATAAAACAAGTATACAAATGTTAGATAAATCAGACAATTTTAATTCTGTAATCTTATAGTTAATATTCACTCATAATTTTAAAAAATAATATATATTCAATTGAGTTTTTTAATAAAGTATTAAATATCTTTTTTAAAACAGTTTATATAAAAATATAAATATACTTTATTGTCATTCCATATAATTCAATTTACTTGTTTAAAAGATCCCACTACAAAATCATGGATAAATTGTATTTTTTTTACATCAATAATAATTTTAACCATCAATCTTTATATAATTAAAATATATTACTATCACAATATCACTGTCATAATTCTTTAAACAAAATATTTACTTTAATATAATATAATAAGATAAAGATTATATTCATCTATAACATTATTATATTTATAATTTTAAGTGAAATTTCTCAATAATAATATTACTTATTTTCATTCTTTTAATTGAAAACAAAATTGTAAATTAATAAAATTTGATAGACAAATTCTCCATTTCCATAGTCATTTTTATCCTTTATTAGAAAAAAAAATCTTAATTTCTCCTTGAGGATTGCCTTTGCAAAAAGTTTTTGTTTTCAGATTCTTTTTAATAATTAAAAAAAAATATTCATATATATATATATATATATATATATATATATATATATATATATATATATATATATATATATATATATGAGCAACAAGTTTCTAAATTTTCATATATATAAACCGTGAAGAATTCCGACAACGACAAGAACATGTTGAATAATTTTCATGAATATCATTACTTCACCAATTCAAATCAAATAACAAGTTAATGATTTTTGTTTAGTGAACTTAGTAAAAATTTTACTCTATATATTATTCTTATAATGAGATTTCTCTTGTTTTGGTTTGGTATCTCTATCACTAATGAAGATTCCCATGATGAACAATTTAACTTATTAATCGATCGCGTTTTTATAATTATGTTGTTATATTTGGATTGTGAAGGATATTAGTCACATAAATATGTTGATATTTAACTTTAAAATGTGGATTATATAACATGTTAATATAATATATTAATATCTTTCTCCGGTTTAAATCTTTTAAGCCATATATTCACAGTAATATATTTCTTCGATTCATGCATATACTTTCATTCTTTTTTTCCAAAATATATTAATTTTTTGGTTGAAATCCTTTCTCCAATTTGTTCATCCTCTTTTATTTTATTTTTTTCAAGTCTGTTAACTTTTTTTGCTTATAATGGTTTCATCATCTTCCATGTTTTTGTTATGGATTTAACGTGGAATGATTGAAATCTAACATCACTTCAACTCTTTCCAATAGGATAAAATAAAATGAATGAGTAAAAATGGGTGAAGATCCATTAACTTTTTAATTTCGTAGTTCCTTCTTATTAAACATAAGAAATTCAATTCATTCTCTCTGTTTCCTCTACTCTCCCTCAAACCAAACATACCATAAAAGCAACTCCAATGTTTGGATCGCTAAAAGCATACTATAAACATAGTCAGAAATAGGAAATGAAAATTGTATGAACATTTAACTTCTTGTACAAAATCAAAATAGTACACATCAATCTCACATATAACATCCAATTTTCTCCCTTACAGTCTCTTTTCCGGGAATCAGGAATCAATTTTTCTGGTAGAAGAAGGTATATTAAGAAATCATTATGACACAAAAACTCAATAAAAACTTTTGAGAGTCGAGTCATGCAGTTATAACATTAGCATCTTCACAAATCTGGCATAAAATGCTATGTTTGCATCTAAATGTTTATCAGTTGTCATAAAATTCATCAAAGAAGCCAATAATCAATCAATGACTTTAGAGTGTTAGCATTTTGTAACACTCTCTGGTAATGAAATCCTGAATCATTCCAACAAAACACAGAATCTACACGATCAAAGGATGAAATCCAGAGTGTTGCACTCTACTGATGTATTGGATCCACAGTTTTGTTTTTACCAAACTAAGTAAAAGACCATAAATCAAACAATATCATGGAATGAAACAATTATAAAGAATGTGTGTGTAGGATCAGGAACTAGTGTACATGTGGATTCCAATAGCCATCAAGAAGATGCAAACTAGAGCAAAGTAGATGATGGAGTGAACAAGTATGGATACCCCACTTGTTTGAAAGTTGCCAAACTCTACCATTTTGCCTTGACCAGGTATCTGGATCAACAAGCCTGGAGTGAGGAGAATGAAGAGCACCACAGACACAAAAACTGGCCCCCAATCAGCCATCTTCTGCACTTTTTTCTTCTCTCTCACTTGTGTTGAGGGGTCTTATCCCCTTCAATGGTTGGTTGGTGGTTTGAAAGAGAGCACTAGGCACATGGAACTTTTGGAAAAAGAAATATGGTAGAAAGGTGAGGTTGGTGAGTTTGCAAGAGACAAGAAATGAAGAAATGGATGACTGGGAAGGAAGGAAGACATTAGTATTATTCTTGCCTAAAAAGGGGAAAAAGCAAAGGTTACAAAATCAAGTGATTCTCATTCTGATTTTACAACTCATAACCAATCACATGCCACCAACTTCTGGCATGTTTAACAGTTAGCAATAAACGTTTATACTTAAGAACATAAATGTTCCCAATATATATTTTTAGCGCTCTAATTGTGTTCACTATTACCTATTAACCTATTGAAATATATATATTCAAAAGATGAAATTAATGATGAATCCAACAAAATTCAATTGTGAATGCAGAATACTATCTTCTGCAAAATGTACAAGAAATATAAAGGGTTTTTTTTCTTTAGTCTTAATTATAAGAAACAGTGACTTGTTTTAAAACTCTTTCAGTGTTAAATATCAATTATACCCTTAATTATTAGAAAACCAAATTTAAAATTCAGCAATTATATTGTAATATAAGTTATAGTTTTATTATAGAATGCTATTTTTTGCACCCCATAATTTTTTCCTGCACCCCTATAATTATATTAAACCTCATTTTACCCTTACACTTATCTTCATCTTTATCTTCAAAATATATTCTAAAATGACTTTTCCAGAACACTCAATTCAAAATGTATTTCTGAAAAAACTCTTTCAAAAACGTATTCTGGAACACTCAATTTATAATATATTTTCAGAAAGTCTTTTCCAAAAAACACATTTTAGAATACTCAATCTACAATATATTTTCGAAAAAGTTTTTTTAGAAATGTATTTTAAAACACTCAATCTAAAATGCATTTTCGGATTGACATTTTCAGAATTTAACCTTATTTTCTTGACATTGTTTCAAACTAAGCAACTTGAGTCTATTTGTGTAATTTAAGCAGAATATATAATTTATATATAATATTAATGATTAATTATCTTTAATAGTTAGAAAAGGTATTTAATAGAGTTGATAACACAAAAAATCAAATGGTCAAAAAGACTTAAATAAAAGAAGAAGGTAAGATAAAAAAATAAAATTATAATATGAATATTTTAGATATTTGAATTGGGTACGGAGATGGGAGGAGAAATTATAATGGTGGTGGAGGCAAGAGCCGTTATTATATTGCCTAAGAAATGGTACGGGAAATTAAGGAGGCCCAAACCATTCAATGGCCCAAAGTAAGCAGTATAGTGGGGGCCCAAAGTGTGGGTGTTTGTTGAGGAGAACATTATTTTGAATGAAGGGGAACATTACCGTTCCAAAAATTCAGTTACATGGATAAACCTTATCTTCTATTGTTTTTCAATCCAACGTGCAGATGGTCACAAAAGTTTCTAACATCTAAGAGATGAAAAAAATTGTCAATAGATGATTGGAGTTTATGCTCATGCAAGAGCTCTGAATGTTAATGCTCCTTCCATTTCATCATTGAAATTACACTCCAATGGCACTCTGCATCGCCTTTCATAACCGTAGTTTTATGGATAACCTAGTCCAACCTTTTCACCATCTCAATCCTTGTTTTGTTCAGAACCAACACACCCACATGCAACCCAGAAGCCATTCACTCTCTTCAGTTTCTCTTGGAATGTCAGACCCCCAACTGGTTTCTTCTCCTCAATTTTTCTCAACAAAATTCTCTCCATTCTTTGATCCTTTGGATAACTTGGGTGAGTTGAAGACTTTGAATTCTGTGAGGGAATTGCATGCCCAGATGGTCAAAATTCCAAAAAGACGGAATTCAGTCACGATGGATGGAAGGATGATGAGAAACTACTTGGAATTTGGAGACTTTCTATCAGCAACAAAGGTTTTTTTTGTGGGGTTTTCAAGGAATTACCTTTTATGGAATTCGTTTGTGGAGGAGTTTGCTAGTTTTGGAGGTGACTCACATGAGATTCTGGAGGTGTTCAAGGAATTACACAATATAGGAGTGGAATTTGACAGCAAAGCTCTCACTGTTGTTCTGAAAATTTGTTTGGCTTTGATGGAGTTGTGGCTTGGGATGGAAGTTCATGCTTGTTTGGTTAAGAGAGGTTTCCATGTTGATGTACACTTGAGTTGTGCATTGATCAATATCTATGAGAAGTGCTGGGGAATAGATAGGGCAAATCAAGTGTTTGATGAGACCCCACTACAAGAAGATTTCTTGTGGAATACAGTTGTTATGGCAAACTTGAGGAGTGAGAGGTGGGAGAAGGCCTTAGAACTGTTCCGTCGAATGCAATCAGCTTCGGCCAAAGTCACTGATGGCACCTTGGTCAAACTGCTGCAAGCATGTGGAAAATTGAGAGCTCTCAATGAAGGGAAGCAGCTCCATGGGTATGTTATAAAATTTGGAAGAGTGTCAAATACTTCAATTTGCAATTCTGTACTTAGCATGTACTCTAGGAACAATAGACTTGACCTAGCTAGAGCGGTTTTTTATTCAATGGACGATCATAACTTGTCATCTTGGAACTCAATAATTTCGAGTTATGCAGTTAATGGCTGTTTGAATGGTGCCTGGGATGTCCTCCAAGAAATGCAGTCTTCCAGCATCAAACCAGACATTATAACCTGGAATTCTATTTTGTCTGGCCATCTTCTTCAGGGATCATATGAAATGGTTCTCACCAATTTCCGGATCCTGCAAAGTGTCGGCTTTAAGCCAGATTCATGTTCAATAACTAGTGCTCTGCAAGCAGTTATTGAATTGGTTTGCTTTAATCTAGGGAAAGAAATCCATAGTTACGTAATGAGAAGTAACCTTGACTACGATGCCTATGTGTGTACATCTTTGGTGGATATGTATATTAAGAATAATTCCTTAGATAAAGCTGAAGTAGTGTTTCATCATTCAAAAAACAAAAATATTTGTGCTTGGAATTCATTGATATCAGGTTACGCCTACAAGGGCTTGTTTAACAATGCTGAAAATCTATTGAAACAGATGAAGGGGGAAGGGATAAAACCTGATTTGGTGACTTGGAATAGTTTGATTTCAGGTTATTCCATGTGGGGTCGCAGTGAAGAAGCTTTGGCTTTGATGAATAGGATCAAGGGTTTGGGATTAACTCCTAATGTGGTATCCTGGACTGCTATGATATCAGGCTGCTGTCAAAACGAGAACTACATGGAACCCCTGCAGTTTTTCAGCAAAATGCTAGAAGAAAATGTGAAACCTAACTCTACCACCATTTGCAGCTTACTCCGGGCATGTGCGGGCTTATCACTGTTAAAGAAAGGTGAAGAGATACACTGCTTTTGTATGAGACATGGGTTTGTGGATGACATATACGTAGCCACAGCCCTTATTGACATATATTGTAAGGGAGGAAAATTAAAAGTAGCCCACGAGGTTTTCAGGAAAATAAAGGAGAAAACACTACCATGTTGGAATTGCATGATGATGGGATATGCTATTTATGGCCATGGGGAAGAGGTATTCACTCTTTTTGACAGCATGTGCAAAACAGGTATCAGACCTGATGCTATAACCTTCACAGCTCTTCTATCTGGCTGCAAGAATTCAGGTTTAGTTATAGAAGGATGGAAGTACTTTGACAGCATGAAGACATACTACAATATTACTCCAACAATTGAGCATTACTCTTGCATGGTAGATCTTCTTGGAAAAGCCGGTTTTCTTGACGAAGCTTTGGATTTCATCCACGCCATGCCACAAAAGGCAGATGCTAGTATTTGGGGTGCTCTTCTTTCAGCCTGCAGAATTCACAAAGACATTAATACAGCAGAGATTGCAGCAAGGAATCTTTTCAGGTTGGAACCGTATAACTCCGGCAACTATGTAACGATGATGAACATATATGCCATTTTTGACAGATGGAGGGATGTGGAGCGCGTTAAAGACTCAATGACTGCCATGGGGGTGAAAATTCTAAATGTTTGGAGTTGGACACAAGTTAGGCACACTATTCATGTGTTCTCCACAGAAGGGGAACCACATCCAGAAGAAGGAGAAATATATTTTGAGTTATACCAATTAGTGTCTGAGATAAGAAAGCTGGGATATGTACCTGATATCAACTGTGTACTTCAGAACATTGATGAGAAGGAGAAGGAGAAGTTTGTGCTCAGTCACACAGAGAAGTTGGCAATGACTTATGGACTGATGAAAATTAAGGATGGATCTCCCATCAGGGTAGTGAAGAACACAAGAATTTGTCAAGACTGTCACACAGCAGCAAAATACATTTCTCTGGCTCGAAACCGCGAGATTTTCCTCAGAGAAAGTGGTCGTTTTCACCATTTCGTGAATGGAGAATGCTCATGCAATGATCGTTGGTAATAAGATACGTAACCAAAAGCTTGAAGCATTTTCTTCTCTTGCTATTGTGCTCTTGTATATCAATAGAGGGAGTGTTCTCATGAAGGGGACTTTATGCTAAATTAAGGAATGACCAACTTACTTGGGAATCATTAAATACCCTCTTTTCAAGTTGCAATTTTCACCTGATATATCTATTTTGTAAGCCACACAGTATGAGATGATTTACAAGAACATATACATTACACACAATGTGATAAAAAATACCATGCAAAGTACAGAAGAGTGAAACAGCATGCGCCTGGTATGATGATGGATTTCAGAGCCTAGTGCTACTTTTCCAACAAATTATTGTACAACCAGGTTCCATCCTTTGCAAGAGTAGCATGTGTTGGTTTCATAAGCATATGATAAAGTGAAGTCGAGATTGTATATTATTTTTCGAATTCAAGTAACTAGCAATCCAGCTTGACCAAAAATATCATATATTATATGGAATTTATTTCATCATTTTACTTCAACATCCTCTTCTCAATCTTTCACAAAAGTTCGATAACACTATTTTATTACAGTGCACATGTAAATAATATATATGCAGGAAATTTTCTGAACAGCTTATGGCATAAATTATTCAGACTCACTCAAGTAAGCAAGTGGCGTACATAGGCACTGAAAATCGAGTGCGGAATCGAATATGAGTAGTGTATATGAACAGCAAAAGCTATTAATTTTAACTAAGTAATTTAATTTTAACTCTGAAAATAAAGAAAAAGGTGATAGAAGGAAAATGCATATATATATATATATATATATATATATATATATATATATATATATATATATATATATATATATATATATTCTGAAGGAACTTAAAATTGAATGTATTTGTTAAGTTTAAAGCAAATCATGTATTGACACTGTTTAAATGTTTCCATCTACTGAATCACTACCTAACAAACATATATACATTTCGTTACATTTGTAAACCTTTTTCTTTTTTCTTTCTAAGGAATCTTTGCAAACCTTATTATTCGTTGTTTTTTTATCTCTGTAGTTTGGAGTACTATATATATATATATATATATATATATATATATATATATATATATATATATATATATATATATACACTCAATGAATGGGAAAAATAAGTCATCAACATTTATTCAATTGGATAATTGAAGTACAATAACAAAAGAAATATTATATAACAAACAACAGATTAAGAAAAAAAAAATCAAAGGAATCACTGCCACTGTTAAAGAATAAAACAAAGGATCAAAGCAAGATGTGACATCAATGAAAATGTGTATGTGTCACAATGTATATCAATCAAGCAAATGTCGACACCACTATTTGTGTCTTTTATATGTTACAGATAGATAAATAGATTGACTGGTACAGTTATGCTAGCAGTTAACCATGGATTAATGCTTTTGGAAAGTATTTCAATGGGCAGAATTTGTCTCTTGGCTCAATTCAACACCCTATATTCCATAAGTGGTTGTGAAATCGACAACTATACTTCCCCAACTAGGCCAGTAAAGCCACATCAATTATCCAATCTACTTTTTTTAGCACTGTTACTTCACCAACATAAACAATGACTTGAGCATAATATACCTCTCTAAAGGCCTCCACCCCCTCCCTACTCACCAGAAAACATCTAGAGTATTTATTGTTTGTCTTACCTCAACGTCAAGGTTCAGGCACTACACTTAAAACGCGATTCAGGTAAACTTCACAGACTATTTAATGCAATCTTATCCCATATTGAAAGTGACATTCATAAATATCTGTACCAACATTGGCAAACATGAGAAAAAAAGTACCAACAGAATTTCATTTCCTTGCAAATTCAATCCTCTCCACAATTTTCAAATAGAATTGAATTTTATTTCAACTCTTTAACCCTATTTTGATGTCTCTTTTATGTTCAAATAAGGCTACAGATGCTACTGGATCCACTACTTTTTTGCAAAATTTGGGTCATGTATATATATGATATATAATTTAAATGTATTAGGGTCATTATTTATTAAGCCAAATAATAAAGTAATATGACTAAATTAAAGTTTTGGTTAAAGGCATATGTCATGAAAATAAAATTGTGTAGAAACCATAGAGTAATTTCTAATTTGATGAGAGGTCAAATTGGAAATACTAAAACTTAAGTAATTAACCTAATTTTGGTTATTTTAAGGGGTCGTGGTCCACTTCTGGGAGCACGTACACAGAATGTAAGTATAAATCCCGTTCTTTTCTTTCTATCCCCATCAAGAGAGAAAATCCATAGGGAAATACAGGTGCTCTCCAGGTGGAAGACCATAAGATCAATAGTGCTCTAAAAGATACATCATTATTATGACTAATTCATGTACGCTTTCACATTTAGTTTACAACATGTTTACGGTATGTGATTACTTTATATTTGATCGTTAGATTAAAGATCATATTTAATTATCAGTTTACCTAACAATTTGGTATCAGAGCAACCCATACTTAATTCATGTTTTTCTTAATAAATATTTAAGAATTTAGATTAATTTACGTAACCCTAAATCCCTACTTAAAAACCCCAGAATTGAGAATCCGGGTTTCTTAAAACTCAATTCTCTGTTACACGTGTGGCTGCACAACGTGGCAACTGTGGTGATGATGATGCCGGTGGTGACGGGGATAGTGCAGCGGCTTCTAAATATGGTATATGCAAGATTGTTTCTCCTTTGAGTGCTTCAGTACCTGCTGGGGTTGTTTTAATGAAGGAGAAAGCAGGATTCAAGTTTACGACTAGAGTGCAGCCTCTTCGCCTTGCTGAATGGGATTCTGAAGATAAAGTCACATTTTTATGAGTGGAAGAAATTATACATTTCGTGATTTTGAGAAAATGGCAAACAAGGTGTTTGCTAGAAGATATTGCAGTGCTGGATGCCTTCATGCCACATACTTGGAAAAAGAGTTTTGGAATGAAATTGGTTGTGGGAAGATGGAAACTGTTGAATATGCATGTGATGTTGAAGGCAGTGCCTTTTCATCTTCTCCCATCGACCAGCTTGGGAACAGCAAATGGAATTTGAAGAAACTTTCAAGGTTGCCCAAATCAAGTTTACGGCTTTTGGAAACATCAATTCCGGGAGTAACAGCACCTATGTTGTACATTGGAATGCTTTTTAGTATGTTTGCATAGCATGTGGAAGATCATTATTTGTACAACATTAATTATCATCATTGTGGGGCATCGAAAACATGGTATGGTATCCCAGGTCATGTTGCTTTAGAATTTGAAAGGGTAGTCAGAGAACATGTGTACACTAATATTTTATCAAGTGACGGGGAAGATGGCGCCTTCGATGTTCTCCTAGGGAAAATAACTCTATTTCCACCAAATATTTTGTTAGAGCATGAAGTCCCTGTCTACAAGGTCGTTCAAAAGCCAGGGGAGTTTATAATAACCTTCTCCACAGTTGAAACCATGACTGAAGCCAGCATGATATGCTCTGGGGGAGGTCTTAACGTCTTGGTGGTTTAATATTTAGTTTTGTTATATAAATAAAATATTTAATTTTAATTGTTTGGTAGTTTAATATTGTTGTGAGCAAATTGAGTCAAGAAGTTACCAAAGTAACATTTCTTGAATTGGGTAGTTCGTAAAAAATATTGAATGTTAGTGTTTGTGTATATTCATGCGAGTATTAGTAGGCCCAAAGAAAGATTAATATTTGGCCGAATTACATACACACCTGTAATGATAAACATGTGATAATTATAAGGATTTGCTTTGTCGATGATAAATCAATCCAAAGACTGGTTTGTTGTTGGACGTGCTTTATTGTTAATGTTTGATTGTTACAACAAGATACCTCTAGCAGTTAATATTACTATCCAAAGACTTGATATTGATGGTGCATTGGGTGTCTTGAGATGGGTTAAACCATTATTTGAATATATATTTTATTTATAATTATTTATTTTTTATAATTGAGCATAATTAATTTATTTCTTTTGTTCTTAATTCAGTTACAATTGCTTACGTATACGCCAATTTAAATTTTGTTTCGGTCCTCGATGGAACAAATTTTAAGGATTTGGAAAGAGAACATTGATATTATTCTTGGTTGCATGGATATGGATCTTGCGTTAAGGATCGAGCAACCCCTGTTCCTACGAATTCAAGTACCTCACGAACGAGAAAGAGATTATGAAAAGTGGAATCGCTCAAATCGCATGAGTCTAATGATCATTAAGCACGGCATCCGGAGGTGTTTAGGGGCACTGTTTACGAAAATATCACAAGTGCCAAAGAGTTCCTTCTTGAAATTGAGCGGCGCTTTGCAAAAAGTGATAAGGCGGAGGCAAGCACTCTTCTTGAGAACTTGATCTCCATGAAATATCAAGGCAAAGGAAATATCGGGGAGTACATTATGAGCATGTCTAATATTGTTTTTAAACTCAAGGCACTAAAGCTCGAACTCTCGGAAGACTTGCTCATTCATTTGGTGTTGATTTCTCTTCCATAACGTTTAATCGAGTTTAAGGTATCTTACAAGCTGTCGGAAGGATAAATGGTCTCTTAATGAACTCATTTCACATTGTGTACAAGAAGAAGAAAGGCTAAAGCAAGATAAGATAGAAAGTGCTCATTTAACAAGCACCTCTAAGGCTAAAGGCAAAAGAAAGAGATCGGAGGATCCCAAGAAGGAAGCTGTTAAAGGTCCAGAACAAAAGAAACAAACTCAAGAAAACAAATGTTTCTTTTGCAATAAGACTGGACACGTAAAGAAGCGATGTGCTAAATATCATGCTTGGCGTGAAAAGAAAGGATTGCCTAAACTACGGAAGCCAGCTGATTCGAAAGATGGATATACGTTGAAAACGACAAATCGGTGGAGATGGAGACTATTGGACATTTTAGATTATTATTATGTACTAATTTTTTATTTATTTTAGATTTAAAAGATTTTTTTGTCGTGTCAGTCTTTTAGACGAAATTTGGTTTCGAGTTTCTTATTTGGACAAATTAGGTTATTTGTGTTTATTTGGAAACAATCAGTTCAATTTGTCTTTTAATTCAGATATTATTAGAATTTGTTCACTTTTGGCTCATTATAATCTATATTTACTTAATATTGTGGTCACCTATAATGAAACTCTTAATACGAGAATCTCATGGTATTAAACTAAAATTGGACTCCGAACGGTAAGTAGTTACTTCATTAGTTATTCTGAAAGAGCCAGGGGATATAAATTTTATGATCCCACATTAAAGACAATTTTTGAGATGGGAACTGTTATGTTCTTTGAGGATATTGAGTTTGGGGGGAAGAATAAGATTAAGAATTTTGTATTGGAGAAAGAATCGACAATAAATCCAGAACTGATTCAAACAGTTACTTTTGATAAAGTAAGTTCGGAACCTCCACAAGACATTGATGATAAATCTCATATTCAAGATGATTTGATTGTTCGTCAAGACCAAACTCAAGATCCTCAAAAAACCTGTGCGTCATGAGTCGGGGATACTCCAGTTACTAAGGGAGACAAGTTTAGTCTAAATTAGTGCCCAAAGAGGAATTTGGAAATTAAGGAAATGCAACAGATTCCCCATGTATTAGCTATCGGGAGTTTGATGTATTCCCAAATATGTACGCGTCCAGACATAACATACATAGTTGGGGTTCTAGGCAGATATTTAAGCAATTCAGGAATAGACCATTGGAAAGCGAGAAAAAAGGGTTATAAGATATTTAAAGAGAACAAAAGATTATATGCTCACATACGGGAGGTCGGACCAGGTTGGAGATCGGCTGGGTTTTCGACTCAGATTTTGCGGGATGTCGATAATTTGTAGCATGCTATGAGGCATCAAATCATGGAATATGGTGAGAAATTTTGTCACGAGTACTGCAAATTGTGAAAGGCATTGAAAGACCACTTAAGTTATATTGTGACAATAAATCAGTTGTATTGTCGAGGAAAGAGTACAAAGTGAACAGATTTTCATAGAACACTTAAGGACAAACTCCATGATAGCATATCCTCTAACTAAAGGACTTCCGCCCAAGGTCTTTCATGAGCATGTTGTTCACATGGGTGTTTTACAGTTTGAGGAATTTGTAGTTTAGTGGGAGTTAGTCACTTTAATATATTTTATGTTCTATGTTTAATTTCATATATGTATACATTGATTTTTTGGACATATTTGGTTATCTATAGATATGCGGTTTTTGTTCATTCATTACACTTTGTACATTAAGGTTATTATATCGATCTCGATAAGTTAAAGTTTGGACCAGTTGAAAATAGACGTGTACAGATCACCTTCACGTAATTTTTCATGCTACACATTTTATGATGAATCCATGTCATTTGGTTATGTTAGGATGAGTAATCATTGTTGGTTTTAGTTGCGATGATGCAATGAAAAGCTGGTTTGGTTCTATATCACGATATGATTAATGAACAGGACTTTTGGAGTATGCTAAAGGAATATAATGGCAATTTTGAGCTCATAAAGTCTAACATATTTGTAAGGTTGTAAGTACATATATATTTGTGACCAGGTGGGAGATTGTTGGCAAAATTTGGATCATGTATATATATGATATATAATTTAAATGTGTTAAGGTCATTATTTATTAAGCAGAATAATAAAGTGATCTGATTAAATTAAAGTTTTGGCTAAAGGCGTATGTCATGAAAATAAAATTGTGTAAAAACCATAGAGCGATTTCTAATTTGATGAGGGTCAAATTGAAAATACTTAAAACTTAAGTAATTAACACAATTCGGTTATTTTAAGGGGTCGTGGTCACCTTACGGAGCAGCGTACACAAAATGCAAGTATAAGTCACAGTTCTTTCTATCTCATCACATCGAGAGAAAATCCGTAGAAAAATACAAGATCTTCTTGAGTGGAAGGCAATAAGATCAATAGTCTTCTAAAAGATACATCATCTACGCTTTCGCATCTAGTTTACAATATATTTATGGTATGAAATTACTTTATATTTGATCATTAGATTAAATATCATATTTAATTATCAGTTTACCTAACCCCTACCGCTTTGAAACCCTTCTTATGGATAGTATTTTTCTCCCAATAAAGTGCAAGTTTTAAGTTGAATTTGAAAGCTCTCGCAACACTTGGAAGAATAGAAAGTGTATCTTTTAAGTTCATCAAAGTAAAGTATATCTTAGAAGGTTCTAAAAGTAAGTGCGTGAAGAAGGCAGTATATCAAAGTAAGGTGCATGATACCCAGCGGGAGCTAGAAGCGAAAACAACTTGATTGATTGCCTAAACAGAGTCCTAAACAGGGAGGAGGTGGAATAGATAACTTACAAAAGGTACACTACTTGGAATAAAATAACAAGGCAGTATCCACTATTTGGAGTTCTCTTGGGCCAGCATATAGATCTGGCAAAAGTTGCAACTAAACATGAAATTGAAAGAGTGCAGAAACTGGTTTGTCTCAACAAAAATATTTACAAACAACTGTAGCAACACACCACCATTCACAAAATCCAGGAAGAAAAGAGCAGGTAAAAACTTTCCCCACCCATCCCCATGTGCTCATGAGGTCCAGAATCTCATCTTACAAAACTTGTAAGGGATGGTAGGGGAATTGTATCCATGATACAGAGGAAAAAACTTCCAAAACTTCTGGGAACATGGAAGGAATACTCCAACCAATGTCCACACTGGAACTAGGATCAGAGAGCAATGGATCATGAACCCAACTTCATTCTTCCCTGGACATGCTTAATGGTTGATGGGATCAGTTCGACCTTGCACTGCCATCCTCTCTGAGACATCAGCCAAAGAGCTTAGGTTACACCTGATCAAAGCTTCCACAAAGTAACAAGTTTCATCCTTGGTGTTCCCATCAGGCACATCTACCACAAATGATTCAATCACCATTGTTCCAGGTCTCCCCTCAATGACCTCAGGGTGGACGGTGATTATGGAAGAGTAGTTCTGCGAATTCCACATAACATGATTATTACAGCTGGTAATAGAACTAGCATATGCATCTCTTAGTGACAACATAACAGCATAGGAAATGAATTAACAAACTTAATAGTTCAGCTTATCCTGAGTGCATATCATCCAAACTCAAGCAGGAAAGTGAGATCCCCAGAAATTATACCAATAGAACAACATACATCGGCAGGAAAGTGTTGGTTTGATCCATGTCCAACATTTCTTCACATTCCCGTTACATATACTACCTAGTTCATTACTCAAAACAAATTCCAGGTTTCCTACAATGATCACTAGATTCTTCTGGAAGGAAAAATTTAACAAGAAAAGAAGAGGAAGTGCCCTTTTCTTAGTTCTATTGCACAACTCAAATAAACAAATATGGAACAAAAAAGGATCATACCCTCAGCCTATGGTCACCTCCAACAATTCTGATGCCAAGAATGTGCTCCTCATCATCAAGTTGTTCCAACCTCTCAGTACTTGTTGTGGCTGGAAGGCCAGATTTAACATTCACTTCTCTGACACTTCCAATTCCAAGGTCCCCTTGCATGACACATCTGCTCACAAATGGCTTGTACTTTTGAGGTTGATCAAATCTTCTAACCAGCGACCACACCTGAGAAGGGAAACAACAAACCACATCAATCCACCAAATAACAAAACACGTTATCACATATACTTATTTCTTGAGTTTCAGTACACTAAACCTCGATCGAAAGTCCATAAAAAGAATAAAATCGGTAGATAATTTGGTAAAAGTTAAGAAAGTTAGACATACTCGATTTACTGAAAACAAGTCTGCAGAAAACAAAGAATTAAAGGGCATTATGTCATCTAAAATGTGTAAAGAACTCTCATCTGCTGCTGAGTGAAATGCACCGCATCCAAATCCAGTCATAAAATTTTCAAATTACTCAATTAACAAATCCACACACACACACACAAAAAAAACACTTCATTATGTTCCTATGATTTTTATCTTCAGACACGGCGTAACAGGAAAAACTCAAAAAAACCTCCTAATAAAATGATGATTACCCTTCTCCCAAAAGGTCAAAACGGATTTCATATCCAAAACACAAGGTTTAAAAAAAGCCGCAATTTTCAGCCCCAATATCATGCTTTTTGGAGTCACTACAACCGCATTGCGACTGAAATTGCGGCTGATACAGCAGTGTCAAGGTTTTTTGGAGTTATGTCATCAAGATTTTTTAATTCACCACAGCTGCATCACCATTAGTATTTCGGCACTAGCAACGTATTTGTCCAGGATTTTCCACAACAGCAAGGAAGATGACGAAGTCGAACCGACAACCACAATTTAAAACTAGCGTCATGAGCTGAAAAATCCAGGTGTTTCTTCACAAAAAGAAATAAAGTTCACACACACAAATAGGAAATTTTAGAATTATGTTAATATGCTTTTCTCTTTAGAAATCAAACATGTTAAAACTCAATCAAGACCTCCAGATATAATGAAGATTACCCTTCCCCCAAAACTGATTTCGCAACCAAAAATACAAAGTTTTAAAAACAGCAATTTCGGTCACAAAATCATTTTTTGTAGTAATCCCAACTGCATCGCGATTGCAATTGTGACCAATACTGCAGCATCATGGTATTTGGAGTTATTGCAACCACATGCAATTACAATGATGCCACCCCATCAAGATTTTGGAGCTACTGCAATCACATGCAACTACAATTTCAGCCAATATGCCACAGCATCAAGATTCTCTGAATCACTGCAACCGCATCACCCAATGTAATTGCTACAGCATTGGTCATATTTGTCTACAATTTTCCACAAAAGCAAGGATGGTGACAAAGCCGCACTGGTGGTAACTGTAATTCAAAATCTTGCCAAAACCACACACAAAAAAGACTCGCATCTCATGAGCGGAGAAATTCAACTAATGGAAGACTTGAAAAACAAATCCACAAACACAAAAAATACATGAATTTCGTGACTATGCTTTTAGCCTTCAGAAATCAAGCATGACAGGTAAAACTCAAACGAAAACTTCTAGTCAAATGAAAATTACCCTTTCCTAAAACTGATTTCATAATCGAAAAACACATGGTTTAAGAAACTTCAAATTTGACTGCAACTTTAAAGCTTTTTCTGGAATCACTGCCACTGCAATTGCTGATGACCACAATTGCATCGCGACCACAATTAAAGTTTTTGAAGTCTGCTACAAACCAATTGACACTGCAATTGCAACCACATGCAACTAGGACAGCAATTTAAATTCTCGTCAAAACCCAACAAAAGAACCAGCATCTCCCAGAGTTGAAAAATCTAACTTTTGAAAACATGCACAGAACCCAAAATCTACAACAACCAGTTAACCACCCATCCACAAGAAAGACAAAATCCAAAGAGAAATGTCATAAGACACACACCCAGGTAAGTATACAAAATTAGAAACTCATAAAGAAACACACCAAAACAAGCAAAACCTCACAGATCTCCAGAGAACAATAAAGAAAATGAAAAAAAAAAAGTTTCACCTCCACCCCATCAAGCAGACCCACCAACCAACCAAAGACACCCAATTTACAACAAAATCGGTTCAACAAGGTAAGGTGGAAAAGGCAAACTAACAAGGTGAACAGGGGCTTTGATATGTTTAACGAGAGCAGAAGTGCACTGATTTTCCCTTGGCTCATGCCTGTGATGCCTCCTTATGTACTGTGTCTCAAGAGAAACGCGAGAGTCACCGTTCATCATCTTCTTCTCTGTCTCTCCTAACCCACTCAACTTTCTCTCTCTAACTTCTCTTGAGGCTTGATGTTTGTGTTTCTTTTTCTCTCACCCTTTAGGCTATAACTTATGGGCTGAGGCAACAAGTGGGGTGGGGAGGGATAAGCTTAAGCTTAGGTTGTACAGAGAGATAGAGAGAGAAGAGTTGGTGTAAAAAAGTGTCAACCTTAGCTTAGCTTGGCAGTACATCAAAAATCCATGAATCCACCGACAATGTTTTATTATATTGTTTTTCTTCAACTATGCTTAGCCCACATCAATATCAAACATTAAGCATATTATGAGTGGGTCTTATTATTTTATTTATCTCATGTTCCTCAATACCCTTTCTCTTTGCCCCATTATTGCCTCTTTAAATAATCTAAAGACAAAACAAATCCTCTTTCACATTGGAAACATAAGTTCTTACTTATATTATGTTTCAGTCATAATTTTATTTTTTTACTAGGTGTACCTGAATATATCTCTTATTTTATTGATACATATCTCATTAAATATAATATTTATTGACAAATAACTTTATATTACAAAAATAAAAGTGTAAAAAACTGTACTTTCTAGCATATTTTTTTTATCATTGATTAAATTTTTTTAAACTACAAAATTAAGAAAAGAAAAAGTCAAAGAAGTGTATCCAAAGAAATATGTTAAAAGTGTATTATCACATTAAGAAAGTATACACCCATAAAGGTTTAATTTTAAAATTATATTTCATATCTTACAAAATTAGTACTCAAAAGATACAATTGAAAGTAAATAAAATACATTGGGATCATATTTTAAAATAATTTAATGATAGAGTGGTTAATATTTGTATAATATATTATAATAGATGTAAATGGTCAATCAAAATAGAAAGCACTTTAATTTGGTATTTGCTTTTGATTGGTTAAAAAAATCGGGAGAAAGAAGCAAAAGTACAGGTTCAGATAAGTCACCAATCAAATTAGGTTTTATTTTTTCGAGTTACCACCAATATCTGCTCTCCATTTAGAAAAGCAGGTTCGGCCAATTAAAGTCAAACCGGATATGGATTGACTCAACTTTCAAAAATCTTCCACAATTTGACAAAGGGTAAAACTTTGTCAATAGATTAATTTTCAAGATATACTTTCTATTGACAAAATAATTGGAATCATCAAAAGTAAAGCTAAATTTTTAATAATATTTTTAAGTTAATTAAGTTGTTTAGTAAAATAATAGAGAGTGTTTCTTTTTTATAAGAGTGATGACAAACTTTAAATTAAAAATATATAATATTTAAAAATTCAAATATAGTTGCAATTTTTATAATTTATAATTAAAAACTATCTCAAATGTAATGTTAAATTTTAGGTCTCTTCAACATTGAGTACTTATATATAAAGAGGAAAAAAATGTAACTAATAATAAAAGTATAAGAAATATTTTTAAAAGTAATAAAATCAATAGAAAAAATTTGCGAAAAAAGATAACAAATCTGTACAAAAACATTGTTTTGTTATCATTTAATTAAATATATTACTTTCATTTCTTTTGTAAAGTTTTTAAGATAATTTTTATTTTATGTTTAATCCAATAAAACTTATTTTTATTATTTTTTTACTTGTTGTTCCACCCATCACCTTCTTTATCTTTTTATTATTCATTCCAAACACTACTTTTCAGATTATACATATTTATTAATAATTAAAATCTTGATCATCATTATTTATTATATTTAAATAAACTATTAATTATTATTTAGCAATTTAAATTTAGTGTGTATTAACATATCATGTAAGTTAATCTCATAAATATAATATTAATATAAAAATAATTTATCAAAGTTATATTTATTTAAATTTATATATATATATATATATATATATATATATAATATTTGAATTTACTCACTATATAAATAATTTTGACACATTCATATAATATATTTGGCAACACCGTGATTATAGTTGGATTAATAATTATTAAAATTTATATTATAATATTTTTTAAATAATCTTATAATGATAATAATTATTACATAAATACACAGTAAAATAAATGTAACATACTTTATAAATGAGTTATAAAGTGGTGAATCATATCACTTTGTTTTATATTTTTTCTTATAATGTGTTTGTGTGAAAGAAGAGTGTGTTCACTCATATGAATTAACATTTAGGTATAGATGGTATAAATTAGATTGTTAAGAATTCAAACAATAAAAAGGGATTGTTTTACACTACAATTAAAAAAATTTACATATAACTTTATTTGACCATTTCATAAGTTGGGTTAATTTATTGATTTAAATCATATTCATATATATATATATATATATATATATATATATATATATATATATATATATATATATATATATATATTCATAAATTTTATTTTATTTCATTTTTTTATAATAAATAATGTAAATAGTGAAATGAAGAAAGAAATTTTTTTATTTTTTATCTTATAAAGATTATAAATAAATAAAAAACTTAATTATTTAATCTCCATTTTACAAAACTATCTTTTTAAAACTTTAAATCTTTCTTCTATTTAAATAATTGAGTTGATTTTTGTGTCTTTTTCAATATATGAGCACACCATTTAAGAGATCATTAAGATCTAAGTAATTTTTCTCCATCAAATTCTTGATTTTGATAAGTTATTTTTATAGTTCTTCTTCTTTTAGTTAATGTAACATCCTAAATATTTAAGAATATAAAATATACTTAATTATTTAGAAAATTATATAAATAAAGGGTTAAGTCGAATAATTTTCATAAATATTATTCTTTATAAAATAAAACTTTTTTTTAAGTTCTATCTAAATATTAAGTATTGAAACTATTGGGCATTTTAGGTCTCAGTGATGGAATGAAACTAAAGAATTTGGATATTTCTAAGTTCAAATGAGGGAAAAATAGTTAGTGATATACAAAAGGTGTTGCTAAGGTTTTGGAATAAAAGTATTGAGTGTGAGTTACACACATATCTAGAAAAGTAGGAATTTGGAAATATATGGAGAGTTGATTATTTAAGTAATTATATGTCCAAAATGAAAATATTATATATTTTGATGCGTTGAAATAAAAGTAATAGATTTATGTTGTTTTTGTATTGTTTGATGTTTTTATTGCATGATTATGGTATAAATGAGTGGTATTGTTAAGTATTGAGATGAGAAATCATTTAAATCTTGACCAACATCTTTGTTCGATCTTATTTTTGCTCAAACAAGACATGTGTCACTTGAATAAGGTCAAGACAGTGAAAAAGATAGTTTATGGTCACTAGTACAGAAATCACTTTTAACATCGGTCTTTCCACATCGGTTTAGTTAAGAACTGATGTAGAAAGTGAATTCAAGACTTTCAACATCGGTTTAGTTAAGAACCGATGTAGAAAACACTTTCTACATCGATTCCTAGATGAGCAGATGTAGTAAACATTTTCTACATCGGTTCTCGGATGAGCCGATGTAGAAAGTCTTTTTATAAAATTAAGAGAATTATTCTTGGTAGGATTCAAACCAAGTACCTTAGAATTAAAGACTAATACTCTAACCACTAAACTACTAGGATTTTACGATAATAACTTATAAATAAATTATATTTATATACAAATAAAAATGTATATCCATGTAAATATATAAATATAAAATATATAAATACAAATATATTTTTATATTTATATGTTGGATGTGAGAGAGCGCTCGAGTGTGAAAGTGTGTGTCAGTGGGTTTTCAAAATTTGATGTCAAATTTGTGAGCAAGTCTCTTTATATGAATTTGTAATTTAATGATAGAATATAATATTTATAATTTATTTATAATAATATAGAATATAATCTTTATAATTAATTTATATAATTATATAAAATAAAGAAAAAAATTATTTTATATCATTATATAAATAAATTATAAAGATTATATTTTGTCATTAAGTTATAATCCATATAAAGAGACCATTCACAAATTTGAAATCAAATTTTGAAAATTCACTCAACACACACTTTCATCCTCGAGCACGTCCTCACATCCAACATATAAATATATAAATATATTTGTATTTGTATTTATATATTTTATATTTATATATTTACATGGATATACATTTTTATTTGTATATAAATATAATTTATGTATAAGTTATTATCGGAAAATCCTGGTAGCTTAGTGGTTGGAGTATCGGCCTCCGAATCTAAGATACAGGGTTCCTTACAACCGATGTAGAAAGTCACACTTTCTACATCGGTTCTAGAACCGATGTTAAAAGCCTATTTTGTACTAGTGGGTGGTGATGATTTGCTTAAGTGAGAGTTAAGTCAGTTTGATTATTGTTCAAACAATACTATATTTCTCTTAAGTGAGGTGTTTTTAAGAAAAAAAAGAAATAAACTAATAAAGTTATCGTTCAATAAAAAATTTCTCACTCAAGTAAGAGATTTCACGAGTTGAAGATTGTTTTCTAATGTAATTCTAGTTCAAATAAGAATTTTTAACTCAAATGAGAAATTTATAGTTCAAGCGATAACTTAAGCTACAATGACAGTAACAATTTTTTTCTTAACTAAGAAAATGCATGTATGATGATTTATATAACCATATGGTGGTATTATATGTTCTTAAGACAAATGTATATCTATTTGAGCCTAAGTTAAGGAAGGAGAGAGACACATAATCGTTTATGATATATATGTATATGAGGCTAAGTCGAGTAAGAGATGTGATCAATAATTAATTAATATGTGTATGTTTGTTAGTATCTAGTGAGATATATGTGGTACTAGGATGATTACTATGTTTACATAGATTCATTTAGATTTAAAATTTTACTCATAATCGTGATTAAGTAAACTAAGATATCAATAAGTAAAATGTCAATGTAAAGATTATTGATAGTAAAAATTATCTAGTGTATCAATTTCAATGTAACTCACACATGTTAGTCTCTAATTTTGGGAATATAGTGTTTATCTTCTCCAAAGATGTCTATATCAAT